TTTCGCAACACTGGCTTATTTAGCTCTGGTAATCGCGTAGAGCCTCTAAGGGCGACAAAGGGTGACCCTAATTAGTCAGGGTTGACAACCCCGACTAATTAGGAACTTGATTTTTTTAAAAATGACCCAGTTTTTGGCCACGGACGTGGCCAGAAATTGGGTCGATTTGTGTAATAAAAATGGGATTGTGTCGATTTTTGAAAAAAAATATGGATTGGATCTTTTTTAAAAATTTCTTCGAAGAAGAAAAGTAAAGAAAAACCTTAACTTTAAACAATAAATAGATAACTCCCCATAACTTTCTAAATATTAGAAAATTTCTTTAAATTTAGAGATTATTAGAAAAATCTCCTTTAACTTTAAAGTTTTACTAGAGAATTGCCTTTAACTTTTAAATTTTTATTAGAAAATCCACCTGCTGCTATCACTTTTAGGAGGATTTCCTGATAAAATCTCAAAGTTAAAAAATGTTTTCTTATAATCCCTAAACTTATAACTTTTTTCAATATTTTTAAAGTTATGGGGTTATCTGATTATCATCCAAAGTTAAGGAGTTTGTCTGATATTTAGTCTTATTAAAACTATGTTAGGGAATTTCATTTTGTTTTTACCAAAAAAATAAAAACTGTGCTTTCTGTAAGGGGGTGTTTGGCTGTTTGAAAGTGAATTGAAATTGTGTAAGTTACTTTTTTATATAAATAATTTTCACATCCACATCAGCATGTAAGTGAAATACATTGTTTGTTTTAAAAAATAAATTTATTGTTAAAAGTGCAATGTGAAGATGACGTGACAAATTTTGATCAATTAGTAAATATAATTAAATTCATTTAATTAAAATTGATTGCTACTTTTATCACTTTCATGTGACTTCACTAATTTTTTAGGGAAAGTCAAAATTGCATTAAATCCTATGTGGTAACTTTATTGTATTTCACTTTCATTACCACTTGCATGCAAACAAACACATAAAATGTTAAAAGAAAGTCATTTTCTCACTTTCATCTTTCACTTGTATATAAACAAACACACCCTAAATGCAAATGCTTCCAATATTGTATCTCGATAAGAAAATCTCATTGACTACTATATGTCTTTTATTACCAAATATCTCTTGTCGGAATTCAGAAAATTGTTAAATTCAACAAATTTTTCACTAATACGTTCCGATATAAATTTGCATTGTAAATTGCACATCACATGTTAATTACTAACATAGGATGTTGATACATTTGAAGTTATATAGAGAAACTGATAAACACATGTGTATGAAGATTATATGCAAACATATTTTTAGACAAACGTAATGATAAGATTGATATTTCCCTGGAAAGAAATTTGCTTCACAAAAGATTTAATAAGCCTTTGAAGCTTGGGCCTTTTGTTAAAGGGCTTGCAGCATCTTCCAAGTACTCAATTACCTTAGCCCATGTAATTAAATAATGGGCTTGTCCCAACAAAATTTTATTTGAAAATCTAAAACTGTTTTCAGTAGTTTGTTGTCCTAGCGTTTAAAAAGCAAATTAGAAAACGACATTTAAAAAAAGCAAATTCGAAGCCGATTCTAAAAGTCAAAGAATTAGATCATCATCAATAAAAAAAATGTTAAAACTTGAAAAAAAAATAGTAGGATAATGAAAGTATCCTTTAGTTAGGAAACCAATCAATCAGAAAATGATGTTTTTTTCAAACTCCCTCCACCTGTGCTCAGACTTTTCAATCACCAAAAGAATATTAAACAAAAAAACGGGGACAAAGGGAACGCGCGAACATAACGAGTCACTTAATAAAACAAGTATTTATCCCCCCCCCCCCCCCCCCCCTATAGTATTAATGGATTTTAATATAATGCTCTCTATCATTTCAGTCACAACTTAATTCTTTGAAAGTGAAAATAAAAATTTCATAGGCTTAAGATTGATGTGGACAACTATCACAATAGATATTGATGCTTCCTTATCCCTATCGCGTAAGCATAGCCAAAAACTAAAATGACCTTTACTTCTCGCGCACTCTGCACGAGCTTTTTTGATTCTTGATTGGGAAAATTTGCAAAATAGATTATTTTTATGAAATGTATAGCGAAATAGACCACTTTGAAAAATAATTAGCAAAATAGACCTCTTTTAAAAAAAGAGGTCGATTTTGAAAAACAAGGCTCGGAAAACATATGGGATTACTAGTCCCGTATGTTTAGAGCCAACTAATCACGGATTAGTGACTCAGAAAACATACGGGACTAGTAGTCCCGTATGTTTTATGAGTAGAAATTTTTACTAATCCGTGATTAAAACATACGGGACTACTAGTCCCGTATGTTTTCTGAGCTGTTTTGCAAAATAGACCTCTTTTTGGCCTGTTAGCCAAAAAGAGGTCTATTTTGCTAATTATTTAGCAAAACGGTCTATTTTGCTAATTATTTAGCAAAACGGTCTATTTTGCAATTTTAATAATTATTTTCCTCAAATCTTTTCTAACACTTCGTTCATCAGCCAATATTGACGCACAAAAATTTGGTGTTATAAGTTGCCCCCAATTGCAAGACTTAACGTTACATTGCTTAAATCTTACCCTCCACACATATCTTATTGGCTAACCCTAGCCTTTGTTTGGCAACCACTCAAAATCGGGCCAGACTTGATTCTAGTTTCATTTTGGAGAAGGTAGTGTTTATAAAAAAAATAGATCAGTATTAGGTAAGCTTTCCTAAGACCACAAGGGGCCCTTGAACTGGACTATTTTTTCTGATTTATTTCCAATCTAGTTAGGCTAAAATTGTGTTGGATGTCTCAACTTTGGAGTGATTGCCAAACACAATCTTGAGGATATTTAAAATAGGGTATCTCCTCGAACAGATGTTTTGATATATTATTTGATGTGGTTGAATCTCAGTTATTTAACAATGCTTCAGTATAAAGTTGAGATTCAACAATCTCAACTTGAACATTTGGCTCGCAAGTGGGATGTTCTTAGGGATCTAGATCCTTCCTAGTTAGGCAATGATTTGAGAGGATCCAATTACACAAATCTTTACTGTTTATTTCAATTCAAAGGATGCGAATTGGCCACGTAGTATAGGACGCCGATCATCGTAATAGTGTCTTTCACAATAATGATTTTCAAGACATTAATGATTTCAAGATAAAAATAGAGATAATGTTCGTACTTCTTGAATGAGCATTTTCTATCATCTCCAGGTAGATAAATAAAGTGACAGAATTTTGTCAAATCCATCCTTTTTTCCCTTCTTGGAAAATGTTTCGGTTGAGTATCCAAACCAACACACAGAACATTTTCTGTCCTCTCAAGCCCGCTTTGCCTCTATCGTGCTTAATGATGCGTTCATTATTTTTAGCCTAATCTTTGGTTCTTGTCTTTGATTGGTCATTCTCCAATTAATGTTAAACTAATACATGCCAAGCAGTTGGAGTTTCTTAAAAATCTGGCTATTAGGCAATTAATCTCAAAAATCTCGTTATGAGATGCGTATGACCATGTGCTGTGGATAATTTTATATTGCATATTTTTTGTTGCGCTAAAATTACTTACAGAGTGTACCAAAATCCCTTATTATAAGGGATAATTAAATACACAATATTCACTCCATAATTATACGTCCCCCCCACCCCCCCCCCCCCCTTCGTTGTTAAACTTTCATCCAATTCTCTCTCTCTCTCTTCCGGAGTGCATATGAGTGTTAGTATACCAACTTTTGAATATCTTGAACATGCTTCACAAATTATGCTCTGCCTGTCCATTTCTAAAGAGGGTGTTTTCCTAAATACAATGAACTTTAGGTGCTTCTGCAAAACGTTAAAAAAAAGAATTATTACCTATAAACCCCGAAAATATATCTTATCTGTATATTTGTCCTCTAAGGTCAGGGCATCTATTAGTTTATCAAGACATTCTTGTAATTGAGTGGAAGTTTCCCTCTTACTTAATATCATTAATTTTGAAGCTAAAAGGGAAGGAAACATTAAAATATTCTTCTCTTTTCAAAGATAGAGTAGTGATAACTAGACGATAATCACTAAACTAAATTTGCTTTATTTGGAGCAAAAGTCAGGAGCCTTGATAACTCACATATTTTAATGGTAGATAGTTCAAAAGAAAAAAAGGCCTCCAATTTTTTTTCCACATGATTAGTCTAGAAATTATAGTGTAGTTATAATTATTATCCTAAAGAATTAGGAGTTTTTTTTTTGGTTTTCTCGTCATCAAAATTTTACCTCATATGCATATTCGCTCATAAATTCTATATATTTTAGCTTGCTCTTAACCATTTTTAACTTTATTATAATAGTCTTTTCTTCTAGTTATACACGACGCGTGTATGACACAACTCAACTTTAAGATAAAGGCCGTACTTTTTATCCCACATGCTGACGCTCTTAGCTACATGTGCTTACGTAGAGGATTACAGACAATTGGAAAAGTCAGATGGATTGAGGAGTCAATAAGTGAGTTGGGTTAGGGTTGGGGGGAGGGGGGGGGTGTGTTTACAAAGAGAGCTACTAGAACCTAATAGGCACGGATGTGAAGAAAAAATGGGAACGACAGATATAATTAAAGGTATGGCTTTGCTACAGGGATCCAAATATATGGGACCAACAAGGGGACATGTGAGGTGCCCCCCTCCTATTGCATAATGAGGTGACCATCATTAATGATGACCAGCTCATTATGCAATATGAGGGGGGCACCTCACATGTCTCCCTGTTGGTCCCATATTTTAGGTTTCTGAGGAATTTTCTTAAAGATATGTCCTAACCTTTTTTTAAATTGTAACTTACACAATGACACAACCAAAAGCCTATCTTTTCTCTTACGCAGAGGGATATAAAATGGCTACGTGAAAAACTGTAGGAACAGCTTAGCGATATGCGCGTGTGCGAGGGGTATTGTCGAAAATAATATACATTTGGAGGGTGTAAGAAAGAAAACACAACTTATTTATAGAAGGGAAAGCGTGGAATATGCTTTAGCGGCGGAGACAGTCAAAGCCGTTACTTCTCCTCGTTTCTTTGCCAAAATTCCCCCACTAAGCTCTGCCCGCGCTGCCCGTAATCTCCTCCCTTCGCTTCGCCCCCCCTGCCCGAGCTGCCCGCTCTCCACCTTTCTCATCATTCTCACTCCAAAAGCGAAGGGGGAAAAAAACCCCGAGGAGCCAAGGTTTTTGCTCGATCCTCTTCCCCTTTTTTCTAGGGTTTGCACCTTCGATGTTCTCTCCTCGATCGATCTTCAATCGGATTTAGGTTTTGGGTTGTGGAATTGATGGGATTGGGGCCTGAGAATGTTCAGGTGGAGGCGCTGATGAAGAAGAGCAGGAGGAGGAAGAAGAAGAGGGATCGGAGTGGTGAGAAGCGGTGTTGGAGTCGGTGGAAGTTGATTGGATGTTGTGTTACTGGATCTAAGGTTGACAACTCGATCAGCAGCAGCAGCACTCAGAATGGTAATTTCTCTTTTTTCTTTTTGTTCTTTTTTTCTTTTATGGTTTTGGTGGAGTAAGATTTGAGTTTAGTTTGTTGTATCTTTGAATTTCAATTTGTTTTTTTTTTGATGTGAAATTGGACATGACTGGATTTATGAGCAATTTCGGGGGACAAAGCGTCAAACTTTAGCCCCGTAGAGGGAGGACTTTAGTTGCACTGTAGAGAAAGGCCCTAACATTGCAGTTGCTTGGTGTTGTAAATTTGTAAGCATTGTTATGATATTTGGACTTTGGTTGATGATCATTGAGCTCTTGAATTTTGTTATTTTTACTTCATTTGTATAATGCATATCAGTAAGAAGGTGAAGGGAGATGTTGGAGTTATGGTTGGAGGAATATAGAACTGTGATGAGGGGATCGGTGCTGCATTACACTTAACATAATTTTACAGTGCTTTTCACATTGAAAGTTCTGTGTAAATATGTGGGCATGAGTATCCAAAGATAGAACTATTTTTAAGCACCCATAACTACATTTTCTGATGACACTTTCTTGACAATGAAACTCAATGCAGTGACAACCATTCTCCTAGTTCCTCACACCACTGTCCTGTGACCGTGAGCATGGTTCTTGCATGGACTTATATCTTTTTTTTCTGCAGTGACAACCATTCTCCCAGTTTTTGCGGTGAAGACATGACTATTGTTAGTAAAATTCTAGGTCCTTGACGCATGCTGTCACCAGAAAACTTATTCTATAAACTATATTCACCCGCTTAAAAGCCTAGCCTTCTATCTGCGAGAGAATTGTTATTGACTACTCAATTTTTGTGCTGCCAGAGTGCCAACAATAAAAATAAAGTCATTATTCCAATTTTTTTGGGCTGGCTGCACGAATCATTTTCTTCCTTTCAACTAAGGTTCATCTCCTTAGTCAAATTAACTAACTACTTCATATGCTTCTTATTGCCTCTGTTGGTCTATCCAAGTTTATCTATGCCTTCTTGGTCTAGGTTCTGCCAAGTTACTGATACTCCTTTAGGATTATCCTTGATACACTGCAGATAACAAGTGTTAAGTTGTTATTGAAGAGAACTTGATATTGATGATCAGATTTACAGGTTTATATATACATACATACCAAACAACTCATCAATCAGTAGCTCACACTAGGAGGCGGTTATACATACATATAGGGTGGCTATACACACTAGGAGGCGTCTATACATACATATAGGGTGGCTACACATACGTATAGGGTGGCTCATGAAATAGCGAACCGCAGAAATAGTTTGAGCTTTGGTAAATAAATCTGTCACTTGTTTCTTAGAGGGAACATATGAGAGTGTAATGTTTCCAGTAACATGCTCCTGTCGAACCACATGACAATCCACCTCAATGTGTTTGGTATGCTCATGAAATATCGGATTTGTGGAAATAAAGATGGCACTCTGATTATCACAGTATAAAGTGGTAAGGGAAGTAACAAAGATATCAAGATCTCGCAAAAGAGTGCGGAGCCACTGCAACTCAACTGTGATGACGAAATCGATATTATAGGATGTAATCTAGGAGTACCGATAAGAAAAACCCAATGGCTATATGATCGATCGGGTAGGATAGGAATCCAAGAGCCTCGATGGAGGAGAACTTAATGTCGACGAGATGAACAACAAGGATAATAATCCTTATACATCAATGGCGAAATTTGTAGTGGTAACAAGATTGAACGACGAGGGACAGAAATCCTTGTGCATCGACGAAGAAGATATTGAGAGTCGATGTCGAGACTGTGAAGAGGAGAAGCTCGTTGTGAGGAAAATCTCAATAGTTGATGTTGAGGCCGTGTAGAAGATATCTCGCATAAAAGAAAGAGACGTGAGTCTTAGTCAAAATTCTGGATGTGACGACAATGGGTTTTGAAAGGCCACCGATGAATAACCATTGGTCGCATAATATAGGTCATATTCTGTTGAACGGTATGAATCCACTAATCACGAGGAAGTATCAATAGAGGAGTCATCGGGAGTAGTCTCTATTACAGCAGATGCAACATCAACGACCCATTGTTTAGTACCGTAAGGCCGACCCTGAGGTTTGCGATGAATGCCCAAATAAACAAATGGACTCGAGCTGTAAAGTACGAGTGCGAACATCAAGGTGATCACGCAGGTCAAAGTTTAAAAGCCACAAGGTAATTATGTAGCAGCCACCAATTTTCCTTAATTAATGAGAAGAATTTAGGAAAGGAGTGGATGAAGGAATGAGAAATGAGGCGAGGTTGAATAGAAGAATCACAGAGGCTCTCTGAGACGAGATTGACTCCTTCATGTTCTTAAAGAGGGGGATGATTTAGGTGACCGATCAAAGCCCAGTGTTGAACCCGAGTGATTTTGGGTGTGAGGGTCTGTAATTTGCCATGAACTGAGGCTAAGATGGTCACTGGTTTCCATGATAGAGTTCAGGTGCGAGGAAGAAGATAACTCTACACTGCGGTTGAGACTGGTGGGGCGAGCTCAGAGCATTGAGCGAGTTTGTTAGAGACATAGGCGATTTGGAGTAGCAGTGATGGTTAAGGCTTCATCGTGAGTTGGAGAGCAATGCTGAGAAGTCATTGTCTTAGAACGGGCCTCAGAAGTGGGGCAGTCAACTGAGTCAGCGTTGGGAATCGAGATACAGCGGAACGACAAGCAGGAGGAAGGAGGCGCAGTCAGGGACGAGGGGTTATCGTTTGCGTGTGGTCGAAGGGTGACCAGCATAGCGTCGTGGTGGTGGTGCATAGAGTTGGTGTCTATGCTAGGCAGCCTCAAGGCTAGGCGTAGCGAGCAAAGAATGCGGCCGACGCTTTACCATTTCGGAGCTGAAGCGAGATTGATCTCGTGAACAATTACGGTGAGGTTCGGAACTTCACAAAGAACTTGACCATTAGGCGAGGTTGGACTTGTGTGAGGTTTTCTTCTTATAGGAGAACACAGCTGATTGGTTTGAGATCAAGGACTAGACTGAGGCGAGAAGGAGACTCGATCATGATTCCAAAAAAAGGGATCTCGAACCCTAGTGAAATGAGGGAGAGCTCGGAGAAGGAGGTCAAAGGCGTCGGAGGTTATTCAGAGATGCGAACCGAGAGCAGAGCCAACCTAATTCTGATGGCTAGTAGTTGGAGATGACAATGATAACGGTCAAAGAGGCAACTCCAACTAGCAATGGTGTCGGCAGTGATATCTAGATCTGGGTCCATGAAGGCAGCGACTAGCAACAATGACAGTCATGGAGTCTCGAGGCAAAGGCGTCGTAAATGAGTGGGGGATGCAATAATATCCTCAAATAACTTGTGCTGAAGATGGAGCAGCAGCGTCTTTGAGCAGGGGCGACGAAACTTCAGTTCGTCAGCGAGGAAGGAGACTCTGAGAGCATAAGGAGCATCAAGGTCATAGGAGACTTCATTAGTTACAAACGTCGGGGCCTGGAGTGGAGCGATCAAAGGAGACTTGGGGAGATGTGGTTGAATTGGAGCACATCGTTGTGAAGGGAGACTGAGTAGCAACGTCCATGAATCTGCTCTGATAAGGAAAGCTAAGCTGAGGGTCGAAGATGGCTGATCTGAGATTGGAGCTTAATGGACGAAGCTGAGGCTGCGATCAATAGTGGCATTGATGATAGAGACTTATATGGATGTTGGCCAGATAATTTCTAGTTTAGTTAAGATGATGGACGACTAAAATTTTGGGTTTGGAGTTTTG